CGATACATGTATTTAATATCTTCTACAAGAACGCCTTTATGATCGGATTAGATGATAAGAATTAGGAAGAACATGCCTAGAGTGTGAGTATGAAAATTAAGTTGTGCAGAGTAAAATAGAATGTTTTATCCGCATTAACTCACAACTTTTCGGCCTTCGACATCAGCTTATCAGGATCGGAACTCGCCATGGCTCTGGTCGGAGCAAATAGCTTCCTTTTTCCGTGCCCTCTCCCCCAGTTCAACCCCTGATGCCGATCGATTTATAGTTGAAAAATCGGTCCATGCTAAGGCTGCTTTTGCAGAAGTTTAACTTGCACCGACGGGTGTAAACTCTCATTTTGGCTCGTGTGTATACTTTGATTAAGAAAAATGTATTTGGAGGGGTGTTTCTCGTGCCGAGGCTGTGCTCATGTTTGACTCTTTTATACTTCGAGCTAAAAAATTGTGTTCATGTTCGGCTAATTTGTTTAGCGAGCTAAATAATAGCCGTTCACGAATAAAGTGTCGTTCTCACAATCTTAATAACGTAGAAATAAGATGCTAAGAGTTGGGGCATGATTTAAAAATTAATGTTTATATTAAAATATCATTTGAATTTAATAATATAATTTTATTCTATTTTCTTAATTAATATTTTTAATTGATTATAAATCTTTGTAGTCTTGTAGTCAATTAGTTTTTTAAAAAAAATTTGTACCCCTGATGCAGATATATATATAATTTATTAGTATTTCGAGCCAAACTCGAACGAAAAAATCTTTGTTCATGTTCGGCTCTTTAACTTAGCGAACGAGCCGAACACGAGTTTCTTAACGAGTCGAACATGAGCTGATCGCGAATAGCAAGCCGTTTTGACAGCACTATGTGTTTGTGTTAGCGTCTTTTGTTTAGCTAGTTGAACCTGAGCTATGTGTGAATAAAGAGTTATTTTGATAATCATAATCATGTAGCAGTGTTAAGTGTTAAGACGAAATTTAAATCTTATTATTTATAGTAAAGTATCATTTAAATATAATTTAATATATTTTTATTTTATTTTTTAATTAATAATTTTTATGTCTTATGGTCAGTTAATTTTTTTAAAAATACTACTCACCAACTATATATATATATATATATA